TAGAATAGAATAGAATAGAATAGAATAGAATAGAATAGAATAGAATAGAATTCTTTATTGGGCAAGTGTGATTGGACACACAAGGAATTTGTCTTTGGTGCAAATGCTTTCAGTGTACATAGAAGAAAACATACATTCATCGAGAATCATCAGGTCCAACACTTCATGATCGTCATAGGGTACAATAAGCCATCAAATGATACTAGGAAACAATATAAACTGTAAGGATACAAGCGACAAACTCACAGTCATACAGTCACAAGTGGGAGGAGATGGGTGATAAGGAGGGATGAGATTAATAGTGATGGTAGTGCAGACTTTGTAAATAGTTGAACAGTCTTGAGGGAATTATTTGTTTAGCAGAGTGATGGCGTTCAGGAAAAAACTGTTCTTGTGTCTAGTTGTTCTGGTGTGCAGTGCTCTATAGCAGTGGTCATCAACTGGTGGGCTGGGGACCACTGGTGGTCCGCAAGAAAATTTTGGTGGTCCACAAAGAAATATCACTTCCAAAGCACCCCGCAAATCAATTAATCCAGGCTGTTTCTGCATTTTTTGCAGAGACCCTGGGAAAGTCCCCCCAAAAGTCTGCAGGAAAACCCCCACCCTGTTTTCCTACCAAACGGTTGTTCTTTATTGGGGATCACAGGATACCGTCTCTCTCTCTCCCCACCCCCCCCAGGACAGAGCTGAAAAGCCGGTTAGGAATGTGGCTGCCTTGGAGGGGGTGGGGTGTGTGAGGGACCTGTGTGTGTGAGAGAGAGAGAGGGAGGGGAGGGAGGGAGAGAGGGAGAGAGAGAGAGAACATCACCGCCAGCACTCCAAGGTTAGCTTGGATCTCTCTCTTTCTCCCACCAATGTCAGCAAGCCACCAGCACTCAAAATTCATATTAGTGGTCTGTGGGTCCACAGCTGTTGTGGTTTGCTGGCAGCCTGTGCAGACGGCAGCGGAATTGGACAGTGGGGAAAAGCAGGGACCAGTTTGGGAGTCTGCGGAGGACTCGGATGAGGGTCCTGCGTCCGATGCAGAGATGGGGCCAGGACCATCTGGGAGTGGGGTGCTGACTCCAGAGCCTCCAGAATCTGGCAGCAGCGAGGCCGAGGAACCAGGGGAGCCTGTTCCCAGGGCGTATGTGCACAGAGCTGCTAGAAGGCAAGAGCAGCTGAGACAAAAGGGGCGACTCAGGAGTAAGGCTGGGAGGTGATTGCCCCTCCCATAAGGTATAAAGGAAGTGCAAAGGTACAGAAACCTTTGCAGGAAGCAACATCATTTGCTCTGATCGGTTTGGACTCTGAAAGCTCTGTGGAGAATTTGTTCTCTGGTTATGAAAAGATTAATTGAGACTTTAGCCATTGGCAGCACTTCAAGAAAGATAAGGTACGTTCTTATCGACGTCTTACGAAAAACTTTGGCAGATGTCCCTGGGACTAATTATAACCAGTTAAGACTCATTCTGGGCTGTGAATGATGATAATTCACAGCCATTGAACTAAAATAAAAGAGTTTTGGATTTTATATGTGTTTGTTGGTGTCTCGGGAAGTCTTGGACAGAACAACAGCTTATCTCATAAATCAGAGCTCCCCAACCTTTCTGGCTTTGTGGCCCAGGGTGGGGGGACTGGTTCCAACTGAGTGGTGGGGAAATGCGCACAGCTCCATTTGCAAGAGCGGCAGCACACGGGCACACACTCGCCTGCTGCTCGCACAAGAGGGTTTGTGCACGCATGCGCTTGCCCGCCACTTCCGTGGCCCAGTTCTGAATGGCTCAAAGCCCGGTTGTGGGCCAGGACCAGGGGTTGGGAACCGTGTCATAAATGACTAGAAGTAGTCCTCGACTTACAACTTATGGCCATTTTTCATGCCTACGACCATTGCAGCATCCCCATAGTTGTGTGGTCAAAGTTTAGGTACTTGGCAACTAGCATGTATTTCTACAACAAAATTTGTGTATTTCTCGCTTCCTTGATATTGCCCGGATCTGTGTGGATTTGACTCTGGGTTACAAATCAGCAATTGGTTTAAGGGCATGTTTTTCAAAGTTGGCAGCTTCAAAATATGTGGAATTCAACTCCCAGAATTCCCTGGCTGGCCAAGATTGAAAAATACTGATTGGAGAACAAGAAACAGGGCATATTGTACTAACTATAGGAAAGACCTTTTTTTTAAAAAAAAAGTGTCATTAAGAATAGGCAATAACTTCAGCAGTTACTGATAACACCCATGTATTTAGAATGGGAATCTCAAAAACAGACTGCAGTATTCACACATCACCTTTAGCCTGATTACTGAATTAAGCCATTGCCTAAGTTCAAATAATTCCTTAGGTCATAAATACCAAAGCACCAGGGCTCACAAAACACACGAGATCTTTAAACAAAACCAACCAAGTTTAGTATATTGTGCAGACACTAATTTAATTAACTTAGTTAAGTATGTTATCTGAACTCAGCCACTGTGAGGAACAGGTTTCTCCATATTTGGATAATGGGTTTTAAATCTTGTTCCGCATAATTACTTCCAAGAAAATCGTGCTTATTTTTATTTGTTTTTGAGTAACAGAACAACTCCCCAAAATTTGTGAAACCATTTGTAATGTAATCTAGTATAGAATTTAAAGTCCTCTTTTGAATGTTCCTATGATTTCCTTCAGTTCTTATGGATTATTGACATTGAAGATGGATTGGGATATGATTCCTTGAAACCCAGTGGATCTTCTGAGTAGATCATCCAATGAAACGCATGAAAATGTCTCCTTCTTTTCCATGCAACAGTTGAATTTTAGGCACATTTCTTTAAGGAAAAATGAATTTAAAAATCTTAGAAATGAGAAGAGTCTTCTCACTTCCAACATTGGGAAATTATTTTTTTTCACTATAAATACGTTGCAATTTATTGGAGGAATAAATACTCATGTAAAGCAGTCAGAGGAAACTTAATCTAATATTAACAGTTTTTAAAACCTGGGTCACTACGGGGACCTACTTGGGGTTTTTCAAAAATCCCCAAAACAATTTCAGATTTACAACTGTAAAAGTGGAAGGCTTCAAAAGACGAAGAGTTTGAAGAGGCCTGTTGAGAATCTCAAGGTGTGAAGAATGTATTTTAATCTGTAGGAAGATCAAAAAAAATATCTTAACACATCAACGTTCGAGTATTTTTTTTCTTCCAAAACAATTGATAATCTTCAATAATTAGTGTTGCTTTGCCCCAAAAGAGAGCAGCTGTAAATTTCATATTTAGGTTTCTTTGCAAGATCCAATCTGGGACAGTCACCTGGACCAGAGATCTAGTCTTTCGAGCTTTCGGATTGGTGCTGGAGCGCTTGCTTCCTCCTCCATTTCTCTCCACCAGAATCTGTGCTTTGGGCCAGGGGTCTCCAACCTTGGCAACTTGACGACTTTAGGATTTCAACTCCCAGAATTCCTCAGCCAAGCATGTGGGAGTTGAAGTCCACAAGTCATAATTCTGGGAGTTGAAATCCTTAAGTCGTCAAGTTGCCAAGGTTGGAGACCCCTGTTTTAGGCTGTACTATGCATGGTATTCATGGGTTGCCTGGTGAAGCCACCCGCAACCAGACATCACATAAATACGATGCATAGTATAGCCCAAAGCGCACATACTGCTAAACAGAAGTTCCCTGAAGATGGGCTCCAGCATGAACCCTAAAGTTTGGAAGACTAAACCTCTGGTGACTGATACAGATTCAATCTTGCAACATTATCCTGGGACTTGTAGATTTGCCTTTATTTGTGAGGTTTCTTCGTATATATATTAATTTCTATAAATAGTTATACCACCCTATATTAAATCATAGGCATACAACCGAGAGCAGGTTATGGAGTGAGGGAACTGACCATTTGCATCCTACTACACATTTTTTCTCTTCCAAAAGACCAACGTGCCCAACTAAGTATGATTTTTAAAGCTTTAGGCCAAGGGTCTCCAAACTTGGTAAGTTTAAGACTTGTGGACTTCAACTCCCAGAATTCCTGAGCTAACATGACTGGAGGAGGGATTCTGGGAGTCGAAGTCCACCAGTCAAGTTTGAAAACCCCTTGCTTTAGGCTCAAGCTATCCTAAGGAAGTAGGAATGTGGTGGCTCAGGGGCTAAGACACTGAGCTTGTCGATCGGGAAGGTCAGCAGTTTGGCGGTTCGAATCCCTAGCACACCGCGTAATGGAATGAGCTCCTGCTACTTGTCCCAGCTTCTATCAACCTAGCAGTTCGAAAGCTTGTTAAAAAAAACAAGTAGAAAAATAGGGACCCCTTTGGTGGGAAGGGAACAATGTTCCGTGCGCCTTCAGTGTTTAGTCCTGCCGGCCACATGACCACAGAGACGTCTTCGGACAGCGCTGGCTCTTCGGTTTTGAAACAGAAATGAGCACCAGCGCCCCCTGGAGCTGGGAAACAACTAGCATGTCTGTGTGAGGGGAACCTTTACCAATCCTAAGGAAAAATGAATGGGTTTTTTTTTGGTCTGGCCAACTAGTCACCTGATCCAGCGAAGTGAATGAAGTGTGATTTGGGGAAAAGAAAAATGCAAAAGGATTATTAGAAGACACTATGAACAGAAAAGGGACGTTCACTCACTATTTTCTGGGTGTTTTTGCTTTTGAGGCCTTCTTTTCCTCTTCAAATTTTAACTTGTTCTGTTCTGTAACCCCCAGGATCCTCTCAACATCCCGAATGGCTCCCTAGAAAGAGGTGGGAATGCTGCGGATTAGCCCCAGAGATCCAGCCTCCCGCTCCGGTGTGGGCTTCTGGACTGAGCATAGCTGACATTCACCTGTGTTGATGGAAGATGCTAGGCTAAAGTCAAGGAAACTGCATCCCATTTCGCCCCATCCCTGGTGGTGCACGTGTTTTTAATCCCGATGAGCAGATATCTCCACGCTTGGCAACTTTGAGGCTTGTGGACTTCAATTCCCAGAATTCCCTGGGAGTTGGAAGTCCACAAATCTTAATGTTGCCAAATTTGGAGACCCCCGCTCATGACTTACGGCGTCATCCAAAGTTGAAGCTACCATAATCTGAAAGTTACAGCAAGGGACTTGTAAACAATAGCAAAGTTTGGGCAGAAGTCTTGGTTCGTAGCAACCCAAAATGGTGACGTCAGCATTTCCCAGAATCTTCACAAAAATTGAACACGTTGCCTGAAGGGGAAAGTTTCATATTCTGATTTTTGGACTTGTTTCCATTCAGGAAGATTAGGCTTCAACTTTCAGAATCCTACAGTCTGCCCAAAGAACTAAGTATATACAGATACAGATTAACAGAGTTGGAAGGGACCTTTTAGGTCATCTAATCCAGCCCCCCCTGCCCAAGCAGGAAACCCTGCATCATTTCTGATGGATGGCAGTCCGGTCTCTTCTCGAAAGCTTCCAGTGTTGAAGCATTCACAACTGCTGGTGGCAAGCTGGTCCACTGGCTGATTGCTCTCACAGTCAGAATGTTTCTCCTTATTTCCAGGCTGAATCTCTCCTTGTTCCGTTTGCATCCATATGCAAGAGTGACCTCAGACATGTGCAGATCGATGTCAGTCTGGGTGGTGTGGTGTCATAGAAGCCATTATGGAGACCACATTCATATAATCAAGAGATGCTCTTTATTTTTTGACATCTCTTTTGTGGGTGGGGTGGCCGCTTCATGGTGCCTTCCCTGGGGTTGAGATGGACCACTGCTTTCCAGTTCATCACTCAGAACCACTGCTGGGACTGAGTGTATTTCCAGTGCCATCTTTTGCACATTTGAAGTAGAAACCAAGCCATCACCGTGCAGTAGCACACAAAATACAACTTTTAAGCAGTTGGAATTACAATTAATAGGTTGCAGGAATTGGAAGATCTGGCTAGTCTAACAAAGAGAAGGACCGGGGTGATATGATAGTCTTTTAGTGTTAGAGGGGGCTGTCACAGTGAAGAAGGGGTTGATTTATTCTCCAAAGGCACCTGGGAGCAGGACAAGAAGTACTTGGTGAAAGAGAGAGATCCAGCCCAGAATTAAGAAGAAATTTCATGACAGTGGAAACAATTCATCAGGAGCTCCGTCGTTGTTGGAGCTTTCCAGGAAGAGACTGGAGAGCCATTTGTCTGCACATGATATACTGTCTCCTGCAGGGAGTTGGGACTAGAAGACCTCCAAGGTCCCTTCCAATCTTATTATTCGATGTTCTGTGTTGAAAGGAGCTGAGCTGCAAGTGAATGGCCATTCACAAAACCCCTTGCTTTGATAGCCATCCTACTGGGCAAAACCTAGTAGAGAAGGGTAAGCTCTGGGCTTACAGCCATCACCCTTCCGTAGCTATTGGAACATAAACAGCCTATTTGTTTGCCTCCTCCTAATGGATGTGTTTTAATATTTCAAACATCTCAACCGTTTCATTTGACGAATCAATAGAAGTCTTTGGGGAGAAGTGCATTTTTTGCCTCTCCAATTAGTAAATCCAAGAGTGGATGTATGCAAAATGAAAATCTAATTTTCTCAGGAGCTAGCCATTCATGCTAGAGAGGGTTTGTGTTGGGTGTGTGTGTGTGTTTTTTAAACAAATATACCAATCGCTCTCAGTCCAAGCAAATCCACGCTCCTGGTACTAAAACCCTTAAATTTAACTAACAGATTCGCCGGGAATCTCACAATATTGACCCGTAAGCTGTGAAATACGCACTGCTACGAGCAGAAGCGAGGGATGGTTTAGCACTTGCTTATAATACAGCATGAGGTGTTTTCTGTCCTTGAACAAAAATTTAACTGGGATCGTTAGTTAATTAACACCTCACCTTAAAATTGGTCTCGGCATGCATATTAGGTGCTGATAATTCTTGATAGATGATGAAGAGATGCTGAGCAAAGGTCATGAGGGCCCCCTGGAGATGTTCTCCAATTGTTCTGTTAATGATATCCAAAGAAATGTCTTTGCCAATGATTCTATTCGCACGCTTAAAAACAATCGCCCTCTCGTTTGGGCCTGTCAGGCGGTGGGATTTAATGAATATTTTCAATCTCCGAAGGTGGCAATCTTCAGGGAAGTACAAAAGATGAGGCTCCATTTTAACTTGTCAGTAAAAAGGATTTGTGTAATAAATATTTTTTATTAATCAAGTAAGGGAGGAGGGCAAAAGCTTGAGTCACTCGAAACAGGAGAGTCTTATCTTGGCTAAAGCATCTCAAATATGTGAACGGAGAGCGCTGGCAGTATGAGAACCTCAGCATTATTAAGGGCATGGAAACGGGGGTTGTTCAGATCCACCCTAAAAAGAGCTCAACTGTTCCAAGCGAGGCTTGGGCTATTCTGGAAGAAGAGTTACTAGGTAAAAATAGCGATGGATATTTTTAATCTGGCTTTTCTGACACGATTCTGTGCCGTAGCCATCAGGGTCTGTTAAGGAGCCATTCTCCCCGGGGTTTAATCTTTCAGAAAACTGGCAAAGGGCAGAGAGAAGGAATCTTAAACTCCAGGACCATCGAGGACCAGCGATGCTCTTGGGAACTTACATCATTCCAAATGTGCTTCGTTTCTGGTCTTCAAACAAGATAAAAATGGTTCCTTCTTTTAGCTGTTGAGAAGGGATAAGACATTAAAGCTTTTTATTTTTTTTTACTGTGTCTGGAAATGCTAAGCATACAATTTCCCACGATCACCTGCTAAGGCGCGTTACGTGAGATGACGTAAGGACAAAAATTTAAGAGCAAGCCGATTAAGATTTTCACTTCCAAGCTGATATAAAAAGTTGATGGTCAAATATTCAGCAAGAGAAAGTATCTGTAAACAAAATATATTTGTAATTCCTTCCTTCTCTCCCCATCTCCCTGCAAGTCCCAATGACCTGAAATCAGGATTTCAGTCTTTGAACTGTATTAATAAACGCACACAATCACAGATTGCATCGAAATTGATCAGAGGCAAAAAGAGAGATTCTTTTCCCAAAACACTTAATGTGTGGTTCGCGCATTTTTGAGGTTGACCCTCAATTTCTTCCCCAGCCTATTTGCCTATTATTATTATTTCACTGAAATTAAAGCAGGCACCGTTCTTACCCGCACATCGTAGCCAATCCCGTGAGCTTTGCACATCTGGAGGAAAACATTATAGTAGATGAAGGAAAGGTTGCCGTTCTTAATTGAACTGCTCGTGAGAATGTAGCGGCTGACCAGGGAGGCCTGGCAAAGGAGAAAGGGAGAAAGAGTTAAGGCCGAGGAATTCCTGAGAGATTCCAGCTTTGAGGCTGGAGTGCAGATTTACACAAGAGTAGCTAAATCTTCAGTCTCCTGGCATATTTCCTCTTTGTCTTCTTCAAAGAAGCAAATCTCGGCCTTCGGAGCGGACCCACTTGAACAAAGAAAAAGAAGGGGGTTTAGCACTGTAACTCAAGGAGGCACCTCCATTCGTTAAGTCCTGTTGACACATCTAGTCCTGTTGTCACACTGCATGGTGCTGATGCAGAGACCTCCCGGTGCAGCCTTCCCAACCTGTCGCCCTCCAGACCAGCTCAGTTTCTGGTTCCCACTGGAAGATTAAGGATTGTAGGAGTGGGAGCGTCAGCTCTGGAAGCCATATTGACACCAGACGCTTCCGCACTGCACACATTCTTGAGTCTCGGAAAATGGGAGGGGGGAGTTTCTTGGAGTGCATGTGTGGTTAGACATAATAACATTCTTTTTTTAAAAATCAAGGTCATATTATTTCTGCACCTGGGTGAGGCGACGTCTCAAGCTGGGACAGGTGGTGATTGGAGCTTGCGATGCGATGATGGGCGCAGGGGGTGGATTTGTAGTTTTTACTTATTGCAAGGAAGCCCGGAAGTTTCAGATTTGGGATTTCCCCAGATGTGTCAGTTTACTATCCAAATAAAACAGAACTTTTGAGAAGATGGTCTGTCTCGGAGTTATTGGGTGGAATGGAGGCTTTCTGGAACGCTGACAGGGAGACGGACATCCAAAGGGCACACAATTTGGGAAGGAGAGCCATCCCTCAGCAGTTTGGTGAAGGAGCCACCCACAGTTGCTCTCAATAGTGAGATAGGAGGCATATACATTTAATCAATAATTCAATCAATCAATTAATTAATAAGGAGGCAGGGGATACGATGCGGTTGCTAAACCCAACAGGGCTCGTATCTTGAGTGGCAAACTGAAATTCCAACATGAAAGCAGCCTAACGTAAACAGATATTAAACCTTCAAGTCGGCTTCAGTGAGTCATCCTAAACTCCTTCACCAGCCCAAAACTTCTGAGAACTTGTCTGAGAATGTAGTAGCTCTCATACTTTTCCCCTTGTATCTCATATTCATACCTAAACATTAAAATTGGTCTTGAGGTTTCAGTCATACACACACTTCCCCACCATGGCCACTTCTACTTTTTCTTCCTCCTCTTTTCCTAAAAAAAATGTCCTTTTGGGAAGAGATGGGGGCATTTTTCAGGGCCTAACAGTAACCCTGAGTAGGACAGTAATGGGCACGGCCAGATTTTGTTTTGTTTTTTTCTCACCCAAGTATGGGAGGTTTTTAAAATAAATTCATAAATAACCCACTGTGGAATGTCTGATTTTGGCCTGCTGCGCAATTTTTATTCCCATCACAAAATGGCAGGAGGTCTCCAAACTTGGCAATCTTAAGACTTGTGGACCAACTCCCTATTCTGGCTGGAGAATTCTGGGAGTTGAAGTCCATAAGTCTTAAAGTGGCCAAGTTTGGAGACCCCTGCTCTAGAGTTTTACTGCTGACCCAGAAGGGATCCCCGAGGGCCATAAGAAAGGCACCGGGGAGGGCCACTGGCTGCCCATCGTTGTGCCATCAACTAGCTATCACAACTGGCTAATAATACAATATTTGCAAAACTCTGCTAAGCAAAATTGTGTCTGGTTGTTGGCAGAAATCAGGGTGCGGTGGGGATAAGAGCCGAGGGGTTTCATCCGTGCTAGCTGATGCCTCTGCTGAGTCATTTTGGGGATCATCCAGTAAAGACCCGAATTTCAGTGGGCGCACGCAGGGTTCAAAAGGTGCCGTATGTAGAGAGGCAGTTTGGGAAGCTTATGCAACCAATCTGCCTCGAGCAGCTTTTGCTGATATTCCATATTCCAATGGGATAATTTTATTATTTTAGTTATTTTTTTTGCAGTACAGCATTAGAACCATGAGAGTAGAGATTTTTAAGCTGGTTCTCCGATTTAACGGACAGATATTGTGGATATGAAGTCCAGCCTTCGTCCCCCTCATCCCAAATCCCTCCTTCTCAAGGGTTAATTTTGGCATGGAACCGCTAACCAGCGTAGCAACCACTTCTCTTCCTTTGCACACCATGCTCGCCCATGCGCTATTATGAGACAGGCAAGTAGCCACAGGGCAGGGCCAGTGGCTGAAAGAAAGGCTTCCAGAACAGGTACCCAAAGTTTTGTTCCTGGCAAAAGACGGCGACAAATCCAACAAACGAACTCTTGATAAAATAATCCAAATCACAGCTTAACAAGCGTAAACCCGAATGTAGCAGCCATAACATCGAACCATTGTTTAAACGCAGGCATCGGTCTGATGAGGTGCTTATTTCAGCTACAAAGCAGACAAACACATGCATAATGAACTGCGGGATGAATTATTAATGTCTTGCTTATTTAGCCTCATCTGTCTCAAAGATAATGTATCCTAAGTATAATGAGTGATTGGTTTTCTACATAATTACAGTAGCGGCGGTATCTAGGAAATTTGCTCTGGCAAAGGAGATTTCTAAAAATAAAAACCATCACTCGTACTCGGTCGCCGCTCCATTTTATCAAAATCAAAGCAAGCAGCCCAGTGAACACATAATAAATTCGCGGGGACAGAAGCATTATTAACATCATAATTTCACATAAAGTGTTTTTACTTAATCATTCATTATAGATCATGCACTGTAAAAAGATTTGTCTCTGTTTCTTCCAGTTCTTTAAAAGGTTTGATGTGGTGGATCTCCAGTTTTACCCCGAACGCTTGGCTGAACAAGGAAGAAATGATATGCTGTGGGCAACGGGCAGGTCAAAAGTGACAGATATGCCTTAACCTGCAATTATTTTAATTTAAAGAATGGCTGCTTGCTTACTTTCTAATACCTGGAACTGGGACTGAATCGGAAGTCATTTTTACTCCTCTTGCCCCACTTAGCAGCTTGAGAAGAATAGACCGAAAGGTTATCAATCTTGACATTTGGGGGAATGCACAAAACCTGGCCATAAAGCAATTTCCCCATACAGTGGCTGTAGAAAGTTTACACACCCGTGCTAAAATACCAGGTTTTGGGGAAGAAGAAAAAAATTAGATCAAGATAAATCACTTCAAATTTTCCCCACCTTTAATATAACATATACGTGCTACAATTCAACAGAAAAACAAACTGAAATATTTTTTTGAGGGGGAAGGGGGAGAATTACAATAACGTGGTTGCATGAAGGTGCACATACCTAATGCCAGGGGAATCGGAAAATTGAGGCAGTTGTTGTGGTTAGCCGGCAGCTGGTGCAGACGGCTGAGGAAAGCGAGGACTCGGATGAGGAGCCAGGGCTACCAGGGAGTGGACTGCTGCCTTCAGAGATGGTGGGGGCTGGCGGCAGGAATGAGGAGGTTCCGGAGGAGCCAAGTGTGCGTGCATGCAGGGCTACTCGCAGGAAAGAGCAGAGCTGCAGCAGCACGGGCGACTCGGGAATAAGGCTGCAAGGTGATGGTCCCTCCTTCAAGAAGATAAAAGCCAGTTGCGAAGCGAATGTTCTTTGCAGAAAGCAAAGACGTTTTGAAACTCCAGCCTCGTGGACATTGCAGTATCTTAGTTGGTATTTGAAGACTCTGGTGTGAAATATTTTCTTATCTGTTATTCTTGGCAGAGTTCGCACAGTTTTGGTGAGGCTCGTGCTTATTAAAGTTAATTAGTTTCCAGCAGGCTTTTAACCGGGGATTTGTAAGAATCATTAAAAGGTTTCTCTTCCCTTTGGTTTGTGTTTGTTTTATTGGAAAAGGGTTTGGGAAAGAACAGCAGTTCGCGTGAGTATAAAGATTTATTACAAGCTTAAGCTCTCTACAAGAATCTGAACTACCAGGGGAAATTTGTGGGAGTTAAGAATAGAAAGGAATTCAAGGTGGATTGGAGTTAGATTTCTTGAGGGCACGCAGGGACTCATGACTGATAATGCATTTGACCCCTCCCTGGGGCTCAGACCCCTCCCCTACAGCAGGGGTCTCCAACCTTGGCCACTTTAAGCCCGGCAGACTTGCAACTCCCAGAATTCTGGCTGGGGAATTCTGGGAGTTGAAGTCTGCCGGGCTTAAAGTGGCCAAGGTTGGAGACCCTTGGTTTAGGCTACAAACGGCTTATTTGTTTCTTCATTCAAGCATCACTTACGGATTGGGCCTGTTCTTTCTGCACAGGTGCCTTCTTGGGAGCTAGCTGTACCTGGAAGCGACTTGACGCGCAGTCAAAGGTCCCCTCAGTCACATAGAGTGCAATCTGAGTCATGGCCAAATGATCGCTGTAGCGCAGATCCAAGTCTGTGGCCCAAACCTTGGGAGAGAAAGAGACCGGTCAAGCACAGCTT